CCCCAAAACCCCAAAACCCCAAAACCCCAAAACCCCTATTTTCTGATAAATTATTGAATTTTAGGGCTAAAAGATGATCCCTGGCTTCGTTATCCTTCTAGAAGTTTTTAAACAAGAATACTCATGGACTACTTATTGGCTCTCCTCTGCTGTTTCTTCTTTTTCTATACATGACTGGCTACTGAACTAAGACTTACGTGTGGTTTAGCTTTCTTGGTTTTTCTAAATACTATTTCATGTAATTTTGTGAATCTATTTCTTATTAAAAACCCTAACTCTTTATCTCGAATGAATATTTTGTTGCAGTCTTTGATGATTCTATCAACTGTTGAAGCATCTTGTTCGAAATCTACAGCAGTAGACTTCAGTACGGAAGATCTTGAGTCCTTTGACCTTACTGAGCTTATAGTAAACTTTCTCTTATTAGAATCTGGGGTGTTGATAACCTTTGGAGATATTCGGATAGCTTCACTTGAGGTAGGATTTGAACTATGACTATATTACAAATATGTACTCAAAATGGCATTGCTCAGAGCTCTATACTCATGATTACACTAAAATATCTTACTAGAGAATGAGCCTCGCTCGGAACCTCTTCAATTTGCTTCAGATGTATGCATGATTCCTTATCATTCCTTTGGGTCATACTAAACTTAACCCTAAAAGTACCTTGAGTTCTTCTTTTTATTCTTGAGAATATAGCTAAACGGGACGACTAAGGACTCTTTAAAGTCACAGTTAATTCTTCTTAACATTCTGTCTAAGAGATCAGGTTGAATCTTTACCCTTATTTGATTAGCTTATCGGATAGAATGTAACTAGGGAAGAAGTCCATCGAATTAGTCCGTCACTTCTTCCTATTGGGTGTGATGAACTACATTACTTATCTGATTTCTTGGGATTTTCAGTCATTTTAGATTTAGATGCAAACCCAGGCATTAATTCTAGAAATTATGAAAAACATACTTCTAGCTGATTTTATCTTGAGCCCTCTACGGCTTCTACGTAACCTTTGGGATACTTGCAGATTTATTTTATTCATAGTAGAGTGTTTCTTCTTTGAATTTGCCTAATTTGGTTAGACTAGCTTTACTCGCTTTCCAAATGAGAAAGGAAAAGACCCTTTTGGGCTTTCAGGTCTTTCCTCCTTCTTTTTGCCTATTTCTCTTGCTTCCTTAATGATATCGTCCATTCGAGTGAAGACAGACATTCTTCTATGAGTCTTTCTTTGGTTCTTATTTGAAGTATTAATCTTAGTAAGGATCATCTCTTTTTCCCAATCTTTAAGGTAATTTGTCAAACTTTACCTGGCATTTCTGGTGAATAATGGATATGAAATTTTTCAAAATTTATCTTTTTAATAAACTTGTTGACTTTGCGAGTATTTTCTAAAGATAATTTATCAGCCCGTTTAGTATTGTCTGCAGAAGTAATGCCTCGACTCGGGTCGCCAGTATGGTCTAGGTCGAAATATTCAACAATATTATCATTATAGTCTGGTAGCATAGATTGCTTACAATCTAATGCAGTTTTGTATTCTAAAGTCATGACTTGGCACCTACCTTTTATATGCCCAATTGGATCCATAAGTCTATTGGAAGACTTCTCACTTTCTGATTTATCTTCTTCAATAATCAATCCTCCACTTTTGGTTCTAGAATTACTCGAAACACGTTACCTTTGGATCGGTTTCTTTGATAAAACTTTAAAAATTTTCTTATTTTGCTGAATTTCTTCTTGCTCTTTCTTGACTTTTTCGATCTTACTCTTTTGTATGAGGTATTCCAAAAACCCTTGATGGCAGTGGGAAAACCTGACGAAATTATTTCCTTGCTCTAAAGGCTCAAGCTTCTATTCTCACTTGCTTGGTTGTAATAGCTGATCGATTATGGTCTGGTATTCTTCCTGCTCGTCCTTACTCTTGGTGTTGCCAATAAGTTTGTCTCTCTTGGTCATTGCTGCCTAAAGGTTGACCCATGGAGGCCGCTTACCTCGTTATCTAGTTCTTGAAACATCTCTCTGGTCAGTTTGAGGTGGAGTAAGAATTCCTTCTCTTTCTTTAAGCTATTTTAGCTTCCAGTCTAGAAGGTCTTCTTCAGTGGCTAGGGGGTGAAGCAAGGATTACTTTTGGAAGAAGGAAAAGGGGCAGGAGTGGGTGTTGTGGCTGGCCTTTGCTATATGATGGAGGGTTAAGGAGGATATTTAGAGTTTAGAGATGTTTTAGAGGTATAAAATATGATTTCTGTTTCCATAAAGTTTCTTTTCATAAAACTTATTTTTCTTCCATTCCAAAAATTTTCTAAGCTTCAAAAACCCAAACCCTCTAATTCTAATTTTTAAGTGTTAGATCCTAGACCACTCTCGACATAGTTCTACGTACAGTTCTAATACTCTGATGACTGAAGCTCTTCACTATTTTCTTATCCATTCTCAATAATTATATTAAAACTAGGGGTTTTGGGGTTTTGGGGTTTTGGGGTTTTGGGG